AATAATCATTATTGCACTATTTTTCAATTTTCAAGTATTTTTCTTTCACGCTGTTATTATAGAATAAAATTGATTTAATAACTTCATAAAAAATAATTATATTTTGAATATAATTATATAATTAAAATGCTCAAAAATATTAAAAGAGCTTTGCCTTCTATATTATTTTATAACATGATAAAAGAAATGGATTGTTTACAAATTTATTTGTATTATGAATTTTTAAATGCAATTATATAATGTTTGATAGGAATATTTTTAATATTTTATAAATAGATTGCGGATATTTGTGCGAATCAAGAGCTTTTCAAAGGAAAATAATGTAATGTTAATAGTATAAAAAAATAATTAAATCCTAAATATATCATATCTAATATTATATTTTTATTATTGTTATTGTTTATAATTTGCATTAAAATATGTAACGGTCATTCTTTCTGTATTATTATTCTTTATTTTTCCTTTAAAATCCTTTATTTTTTGTTAATTATCCTCCAACTGTTATTTATCCTGCATTGTATTGGATAAAACTAATTTACAAGCTAAAAATGTTCTTTATCTGAAGATATACTTTCTTTGGTACTGTGGTTTTCATTTGGAACTTTAATAATTGAATTATTTAAAGTATTATTAAGTTTAAAAATATTTTGAATCCTTGATTTTTCAGGAGAATATATATTTATATTTTGTTCTTACTTTTTCTCCCTTAATTAAATTCTTTGATACTAACATATTTATTTGTAACTTGTTTATAGTAATTGTCCAAATGGAGAAATCAGCTCTAATAAGTGCCAAATCACGAGTAAAAATTTCATCTTCTAAAACTATTCGGATTGTCTCAATGCATGCTACATTTTGTTCTTTGAAAAGTTCAACAATCTGGAAATAAATGAAAACTTGATTATTTTATATAGAATTAGTTATCAGGTAATATGATTTATTATTTTTTAATGAGATAGATATATATGAGAAATTATTTTATTTTTAATTATTAATGTTATACATATGTGAAATATACAAAAAATATGCAAAATACGTGTTATGTAAAATAAATATACTATGAAAAACATGCAAAGTAGAAAATATATTTTTAGATATATTTTTAGATATATTTTTAGCCCAATTAGAACATAAATTTTGTTGGTTTATTTGTTTTCTATAAAAATATACATTTGGCTAAATATCTACAGCATAAAAATTTTTTATTTATTATGGTCAGTATTTTATTAAGAATATACGATAAAGACATATAATTATTAAATAAAAAAATGAATTTCATACAATATAATAAAATCTTTACAATTATTTTATAAATTAATATAATATAAAAACATTAGCATATTCACATTTAGAAAAAAGTAGTATGCCCATTTTTTTTATATAGACAAAATTCTGTTTTTGTCGATTGAATTATACCATACTATGTCCACTTTTTTATGACTAAATGCCATAGCTTTTTAGTAGCATGTAGCTTAGTAGTAGTTTTAGTAGTAATTAGTAGTAGTTTTGGCTATTAAATGATCGAAATTTAAAAAATTTCAATACTATTTCGTCCAACTTTTATATTACAGAATTGATAATATAAATACAGAATTGAAAATATAAATACAGGATTGAAGTTTATAAAAAATTGAATTTTCTACTTTACGAAAGTTTTATTAATTTCAGTGAGTTTATACATATTAATTTTTGCTTCATTTACTTTTTTGTTATATCTGATGATTTTTGAAAACAAAGAATACCTTTCATCTTCCATCATTGAGACTTATTGTTTAACTACCGAAAAATCAGTTTGTTGTTTTTTTATTTATTGTTACAATTTTTGAATATAGAATTATGAGTCTGTTTAATATGATATTTCTTCTTGTTGTTATTTATAAGATTTGCAAAGAACTGGGCTCATATACTGGTATAGTCTACATATACTGGCATAGTCTACAGAAATTTTATTAGTGTTATAATATGAAATACAATTGTGATGATTATATCGATGAAATTTAAAAATAATCATAAAATATAGGAATTACAAATAGCATATAGAAATTTATTACAGACATTTAAAGAAATACAAAAAATTAATATGAAGTGTAAATATTTATTAAGATTCTTTAACATAATGACTAATTAGCTGTTTGAATATTTATGTGACCTCTGTGAAATATTTTAAAATTTGTTTTAAGTTTTAATAAGTTTTATCTTTAACTTTTATTTAATGTAATTCTGACAATCGATTCTTATAGCAATGTTAATGAAATTTCAAAATATTTTGCTTAATATATAAAATATATTTATAAAAACTACTTATTATTATATGAATATTTTCTTGATAATTTTGGAACTATGGTAAAGATTTTAAATAGTAATTCTAACCGTTAGTAGGATTAACCGTGATCTTGAATGAATATTTTTGCATTTATTTTTATTTTTTATACAATTGTTATAATTTTTTATTAAAAAAAAATAATTTTTGAAATCACAGTTATAGTCTATATTTTATAAAGCTGTTATGCTAAAAGACGGAAGCTCTTTTTTTACAATTTCTGACATACATATACATACATACATATTAGAAAATGATACCCGTTACAGTGTTGTCAATTGTATAGCTTCAGCACAGACGAGATAGAAATACATGTACCTCGTCTGTACCATTATATTCCGATACAAGAAATCAGTATCTAAAACGTTTTACATTATGCATCTATGTATATAAACACAATTTAATATTCTATTCCGTGTTTTAATATTAATATACATTTCATGTATATAATTATTTATATTTCATTGTTTTTAAAAATAATTTTTTAATAATTACTTATTTTTATTGGCAACTGGTGATTGACTACCGTATATTTATTTAGTTTTAAATGGCTACTGATCGAAATAAAATTTGAAATGCATGAGATGTGAAACTCCAAAGATATAAAATCTTGGCTTCGAGAATTCTCTATTTGGAAGATCATTCAATTTTACGAAATCTATTATATATATTGTATAAAATAAGAATAAGCAATTAGCAGCTAACGTTAGGCCCTATGCAGGCAACGATTGGCAAATCATCACAATAACGATTCTTTTGAAAAAACAGATATAAAGAGATATAAAACAATTCTTTTGAAAAAACAGATATAAAGAGATATAATATATTTCATAAAAAGAGATATAATATTCTTCTATCCTTTTTATGAAACAAAAGAAGTTTGCGTTTCTGTTTTTCCGCTTATCGAGCACCGCCGCCCTTAGTCGGTTCGATAATTCGAGCGTTTAGAGTAAACAAAAGCACACACAAATGCAACTCTCAAGATGCACATGTATATCCATATATACGTATAAAACATCCTTCTCCGGCTAATAGCAGCCGATCGGGAACATTGTCACCATGTAATTCTTATCTAATTTTTATACCACTTTCAGTCTCTTGTTGTCTTTTATATGTTAAGTATCGTAAAATTATCTTCCGAACAGTTAAATTCTCGAATTCAGCAAACATCTTAGAGAAGGGAAGTTGATTAATTGCAACAATATCCTTATTTTGTACTGGGATTTAACTAATTAATGTAATTCGTCCTGGAGCGAATTACGTGATGATATTTAAAAAGACTATAGAGAAGTAGCCAGGACCTCAAATATAAAATTTTAGCTTCGATTAGTTTTTGAGATATTAGAAAATTAAAAAATACAGTAAATTACAGTAAAAAATTAAAAAATTAAAAAACAGTAGAAAATTAAAAAATACAGTAAATTACAGTATAAAATTAAAAAATACAGTATTCTGCATATTATAATATTATAAACATTACTAATGTATAGATTACTAATATATAGATTAATATAATGTTAAAAATTCGAAAAATCCTAATAATATTTAGTCGTCTAATCCTAATAATCACAGTTTAATAGAATGGCGAAAAAAGTTATACAGTAATATAAGG